AAGACAGGGGGCGGGAGCCCGGGGAAGGGAAGGGGAGGGGGCTGGGGGGGAAAGAGGAAGGATGGGGGGTGGGGGAAGGTACTGATGGGTCGGAGGTAGTGAGGCTGTTTCTGGCCCTCGTCCCCCAACTCACTCCACCACGAAGCTCAGAATACCCAGGAGGAGGGCAGCTCCGGAGACAAAGAGCAGCAGAATCCTGGCTTCCCAAAGATCATGACTTCCTGCAGGGAACCCAGGAGGCAGTGAATGATCCCGGGGACCACACCCATCGATGCTGGGGTAGCCTAACAGCTCAGAGATCTGGGCGGGGTGCGGCAGGGGTGGGGAGTAAGAACCTGGGAAGCAGCGCTTTCGGGGCCAGCAGTACACCTCGAAGCCCTGGCAGGTGGAGCAGTTGTACATGATGGTGCTGCCCCCTGCAGGAGACAGCAGGACCAGCTCTGGGGCGGGAAGCTTCGCTGAACCCTGCGAGAGTCCCACACTTCCTCCCCAAACTGCAGGCCCTCCTCAGGTCCCCCGAGGCCCCTGGCCCTTGCTACCCCTTCCCTTTCCTACTCACGGCAGGCGGGAGCGCAGAGAGCTGAAATGAAAGACAAGGAGGATGGGGGTGGATGAGCTCAGCCACACACTCCTTTGCCTGAGGACCTAGGCACCCCTTGATCCCTCCCCGCATCAGTACCTTCCCTGTTGTATTCCGGGAGCTTGGTCTTTTGAAGCCATTTCCAATATGAAAGGAGTGAGGAGAGAGACCCTTTGATCTCTGGGGAGGCAGAGAGCAGCTTTAGTGCCCGGGGTCTCCGAAGGGCCGGTTCACCTCCACACCTTCACTCAGCACCTCCCCATCATGCCCTCCTGTCTCCACCCGCCCTCCACCCTTCCCTGCCTCCCCAGCCCCCTCCTCCCAAGCCCCTCCTTGGTGCCATCCAAGCCCCTACGTTGTACTCCCCCTCTACCTCACCCATGACCCTCAGGACTCTGTGCGTCTTCTCTGTGACTTTTTTCAAGGATGCATCATCTGTGGAGATGGGTAAAGACCAGGTGAGATTCCCTCATCGGCCCAGAAGGAGGTTCTGGGCCCTTCCCGACTTTCCCAGGGTCTGAAGAAGCTCTCCCAGAGGGAGAGGCCAGTGTGTCGAGAGGCCAGTGTGTCCAGAGAGGCCAGTGGACTGAGAAGATGGCTGAGAGGCACAGCTGGGAGGCCACATGCAGGCCCCTTAGGGCACAGGGGTGACTGTTGCTGAGCCCATCCCTGGATGGCTGATCTTACCTAAGGCAAAGGCCGAGAAGTTCCAGGAGACCTCACAGTCCTTCCACTGGGCCTCCATCTGGCTACAAAGCTGAGCCAGGCGGCCAGACAAGTCATGGTCTGGGAAGCGGCAGAAGACACAGGCCTGGGCGGCTGCCAGGAAGATCCCACCTAATGCCAACATCCACATGAGGCCCGCTGTGGGTGCTGGAGCGGGGGCTGGCCCCACTTAGGCTGGGAAGGCCTTGGAATGCTCTGGGATCCTGGTTCCAGTCCTTTGCCTGGAGGTTCTAGAGTGTTCCAGAACAGTTGGAGTCTCTAGAACATTCCAAAAAAGTGCCACTGCTCCATCCCTGACTGACTGGGGGTAAACCTGGGGCCCAAGGAACTGGGACCAGAAGAAGAAACCTCTAGTGGTAGATAGACAGAGAAAGCAGGGCTTCTGCTGTACTCCCAACCTAGCCCTCAGCAGCCTTTACGAGTTTGTGGTTCCAAAAGCAACTTTATTTTTCTTCTTGTAAATCATGACCAATGATAAATAAGTGACTCCCCCCGTGAACAAGTTGTTTGTGAGTATCCCATCCATTTCCATATCCTCCCCCACTCTCTCGAACTCTTCTGTTCATCTCCTCTCAACCCTGGGCAGCCTTGGGCCTTCCCCAGCTATCTCCTAGCAACAGGCTCATTGTTGCCTTAGTAACCGAGGATTCTATACAGGCCTCCAAGGCCCAGCTAAGCCCAGTGACTTCTCTTACTTCTCACCAGAAGATCCTAGTGACTCAAAGCCCGGCAGGCCCCTCCTGCCTACGTGGTGATGTAAAGCACATGTACACACACACACCTTGGGATTAACCTAATTCTCAGTCTACTCACACCCATACCGCGGACACACCTGGTGCCAAAATAGTTTCTGAGCAACCCCAAACAGGCCTGGACACACAGAGACCACAGAAAGGCCAGCACACAGACACCACCTCCAGCGACATGGATGGGAGCCAGGATGCCAGGGACCCATGCATCAGTCAGACTCACTGGCTAACAGGCACGTACACATGAAGGAAGGACGGCCAGGACCCAAAGAGATGCCCCGCTCCTCCCCATGGCCAGCCCCACCATCAATACGGGATCCTTTAAAACACTTGGATCTCCAGAGGGATGCTCCAGCCCCATATTTAATGGGGATTCTCCTAGCTCCCTTGTGCCAAGCTAGGATGGGGTGTAGCCCTTCTGCCTCCCTCAGTGGTGGCTTGGAACACAGCAAAGAATCTCCCTTCCCGTGTTTCAGAGTGTTCTGACCTATCATTGGTCACGCCAGGCCAGGCCACCAGCTCCAGGAGAAGTCACAGTCCAGAAGACCACATTAGAGCAATCCAAAGTCTCTCATTTCCCCCAGATCTCACTGTCCCTCCACGGTTCTGCTAAGCCTAGCCTGGGCAGAGAAGCATCCCCACTTTTCCAGACCCTGGATACTAAGCTCCAAGCAAGGAAACACCGAAGGTCCCCAGGCTCAGGAGAGGACCAGCCAGGGAAGCTTCCCCACCCCTCTCAGGGTTAGCACCAGTCCAGACCCTCTGGTCTCGTGAGCCCTTGGGCTCTCTCCGGTTTGGGGATTCCTGCCCACATCTGGGCTCCAGTCAGGTGCAACGGGGCCCCTGACTCTCACAGCTCCAGGAGCAGAGCTAGGAAGAGGCTCAGGAGAGACTTCACCCTCTTTACTGACCCATTCTTTCTAACCACCCCCCCCTCGCCCACAGTCAAACTGAAGGCAGCATTCCTAGTTCTCAGCTCCTAGTGCCGGACAAAGCGCAGAGATCGGGAGTTGAGCAGGTCTTCGGGGTCAGGGAAGACGGAGTCGAGACGGAAGCCATGCTCCAGGGCCACCCGCAGCACCTCCTCCAGGAAGCCTGAAGTGCCCACCACCTCCCGTCGCTCTCCTGGCCCCCCAGTCCACAGCGGCTGCAGCCCCAGTCTCCTGTACTCCACTTCGGGGAGCTCTGCAGGGCAGGGGGCCCATTCCAGATGAAAGTGTGGGCCTCCCTCCGCCCTGTCCTCATTGGCCACACCAAATCGGGCACGCATGGCACCCAGACACTCAGGGTCGGTGCAGAAGAGGTTGGCCCGGAAGGTGTCCACCTGGACAGAGCTCAGCTCATAGTGGTGTGGGCCCCGACGAGCAGAGAAGTGCACCAGGCGGGGGCTGCTATCTACATCTGCATGGAGCAGGGCAGCTGTGGGTGCTGGGGTCCCCTGAGAGGCCTCCAGTTCCCGCAGGGCATCCAGGAGGGGCCGGATCTGGTAAAAGTCAGCCTCTGCCCTGAGAAGCGCTGTCTCCCCGTATCCACAGGGCAGGTCCAGGCGGCCCAGCCGTAGGAAATTGAGGATGTGCCGGAAGGCCTTGCCATCTCGGTCGATAAAGTAGTGGCCGCCTCCCTGGGGATTGAGGTTGGGGGTCATGGGAGTACCGGCCCTAAACATGGCCCCCAGCATGGAGTCTGGGAATCGAGTCAGGGTCTCCAGAGTAGTGGAATATAGCGTGCCCCCGACATTCAGGGTCACGGGGCCCCCAAAGGAGGGGGGCGAGGAGGGCACAGGAGGAGGAGAAATTTTGAGGAGTATCGAAGACACCGAAAGAGAAGAAAAGGCAGAACTTCCTGGATGTGTGCAGAATTGGGTCGTAAGGTTCAGACTGTCTCTGGGTCGGAGGCACAGGTTGGAGTACAAGGCAGCAAGATTGGGGGCTCACCCCAGCTACCTGGGTGGTGGGGGGTTTCCTGGCACAGAAACGCCGGAAGGGTTGAGAGAATGGATGAAACGAGCAGAAGGAAGTCAGAGAGGGACGGGAGATTTAGGTCCAGACGCATCCGATTCTGGGTGGTCGGCGATTCCTTTCTGTGGTCTTCAGACAGTGGGTTTCCGCAATCCAACCAGCAGGTGACGGTGGCGAGCACAAGGCCGACTCTGAAGGGACCAGCTTCTCGGGCAGACCGCTGTCACCGTGGGCGAGTCCACACAGGGCTCCGGGGGCCAGTCAGAGGCCTGGCCTGGCCTGGCTCCGGCGCTGGTCCCAGGAGAAGGAGGCGAGGCTGACCGGAGCCGATGGCGGAGGTGCCTCTGTATCGGCTGGGAAGCGAAGATACACGCTCAATCCGAGCTGGGAGTGTCCTAGGACTCCTATGGAAGCAGCCGGGAGTCTCGGGACCGGGCGCCGCCGCCTTCTCCGGGTCTCGCCGCAGCCGCTTAAGTACTCTCCGCCCCGAGGAGGTGGCCTAAGGGCAGCGGCCGGGGGCCCTTTAAGAGGCAGCCCCGCCCCCTGGGCGCCCCGCCCCCTCCCGGAGCGCGCGGTTCCGGTGGTGGTGGAAGCGGAGTGGCGAACTGGAGAGACGGGGCTGACGGGCTGGACTGGCGGACGCTAGCGCGGGTGGGGTCCGGGGGGTGACTCAGGCGCGTCGTTAAGGATGTGGCCGCGACGGCCCCGCCGGCCCCTAGGTGTGCCCGACCTCTCGTCTGCAACTCGGCGGGGGCCGGCGTCTCCTATCCGGCCGCTTATAGAAACTGAGGCCCAGCCGTCGGGTGTTGGGGACTAGTTCCTTTTCAGTCGCTCCCGCAGGGAATTCCCGAGGGGGCGGGTGCTGAGCCGCCGCATTCCAGGGATGCTTCCGGGCTGGGGTGGCCCGAGCCAGCCTCTCCATCCCGGCCCTATGCCAGCACCCCCCATCCCCTCCAGAGAAGGCTGGACCCAGCCCACGCAAGCGGCCTCTGCCGGGCCTGACGGGTCTGACCACGTCTCCTGAGCCCGCGAGCCCCGCCTCAGAGCCGCCCGGCACTCGGGCCGAGGCCGAAGCTCCCAGTTCACTCCCCGGGAGTCGCCCCTCGAGTGACTCCAGTTCGCAAACTCCCAATCGCTCCTGCACCCCAGAAGCCTCAGTGTCCTACACCTCACCCGCCCGACGGGGTTGCTCAATAAATGAACTTTGAAGAGCAAAGCACAAAGTCTTTAATAGAAAGGGGCGGGCGGTGGGAAGGGCAGGGATGGGGGGTGCGGGCCCTCGAAGGCCTGGGATCACAGCGTGTGTAGGTCATGGCTACGCCGGCTCAACTTCTCCGGGTTGTCGGACGCCATGAGGGAGAAGTCCCGGAAGATATCGAGATACGTCTCGTCTCCTGAGGGGAGGGAGGAAGGGCTGGGAGGCCGGGTGGCTGGGCCCTAGCACGGAAGAGCACAATAGGGACAGCCCGGCCTGGTAAGAGCACGCGCTTCCAGCGTGGGTGGAAGGGACATCTGCACCGTCAGGGCGGCGCCCTCGCCTATTCTTTGTTTCAAGGACCCGGCGCGTAGGATGCGCCCAATACATATTTGTTGAATAAATGATGTAATTAATCAATGAAGCTGGGCACAGGGGGTTGGGCACGGGTCAGCAGCGGCCAGAAGCCCAGAGTTACAATGTTGTGTGGGCAGAGGGGGGGTGGGGGGTACTTTACCAGCCTGGCCCTGGGCCGCATCGACCTCCCTCATCTTTGCCAATCGCAGCCTGAAGGGGAGGGAATTAAGGAATGAATGACATTCTCCTCACTCCTCCCGCCCCAACTTCCATCCTTTGAGCTGGGCTGTTTCTTTCACCTGTTTCCCCAGGGTCTAGTGCTTTAAAGACGCCTGACAACAATGTTAATGAATGATGCCTCTCTCAGAATAAACTCACCTTCCTCGGACCCTGCCCTCCCCACTTCCTACTCCAAGCCTCAGTCAACACTTGGAGCATCCTTCCAATGTCTGGTCCTGGAGCTGGCCCCTCCCCTCCCCAGGCCCCGCCTAGCACGCAGGGGTCTCGGCGTTAGCCCCGCCCAAGAGGATAGTGCAAGCGCTAGCCCCGCCTCTTCAGGCATCCTCACAGAGTGACGATGTCAGCGTTGGCTGTTTCCACGGCGATGGTCAGGGGGTCTCTGCCTTCAGAGTCTCGGGCTCCCAGATCGGCCCCCCGTTTCAGGAATAGGCAGGCCAGCCTGGACAGGACAGCCAAGTTCAGCCGGCCCCTCACCCTGTCTGGAGCCTTCCTCCTCAAGGTCATTATCCCTGCCGCCCCTACCCTGTGTGGCCAAGAATGGTTGCGTGGTGGAGCGGGCCTCGGCCGTGGCTGTCCACTTGGTTCACGTTTGCCCCGTTCTGGAGGAGGAACTCACAGGCCAGAAGAGAATTCTGCGTAGAGAAGTAGAGAATGGGGATAGAGGGTGGCATCTTTTGAGGCAAATTTAAAGATATTTTAGAGTGGGGTCAGTTCCGAGGGTGGGTATGGGATGGCAGGCTCTGCTCCGGCTCTTTACATGTATTCACACATTAAATCCATAGTACAACCTAATGAGGTATGTTATCCCTATTTTACAGATGAGGAAACTGAGGTACACGAAGGCTCATAATTGTAAGTGGTGAGGGTCTGGGTTCAAACCCAGGTTTGTCTGCCTCCAAATCTCACACTCTTAGCAACCAGGCTCTATTGGTTATCACTCCCTATGAGGTGGGAGAGGCTAAGAGCTGGGACCAAAGTCCGGAGGAGGGGAGGAGAGGAGGAGCCTAAGGGTGGGCTGGGGTGGGGAGGTCGGCAAGACTCTCACAGCAGCTGTGGCCTGGATCAGCGGTGTGGCATTCTCCTGACCCCCGTGGACCCAGTTGACATCGGCTCCATGGGCGAGGGCATCAGCCATGGTGGGAAGGGATGGAGGATGCCCAGCAGCTCGAAAGAGCAGGGCCCCAGGGTGCAGGCTGCCCAGGTCCTCAGAGGGTGGCTCTGTTAGGGGGAACCAGCTGTGAATCTGGGAAGAAAACCCTCAGCACAGTCCCCTGATGCTGTAATGGGATAGTTCACTTCTCAGCTGTGGGGAGGCCTTCAAGACTGGGGATTGTGGTGGGAGGTGATGGTGGGTATGAGTGGATGTGGGTAGGTCCCCTAGGGCATATGGGATAGATGGCAGTGTTCACCTCTTCCTGTCCGACCACCCTGACTGGCTGGGATGTCGGGGGTGAGCTGACATGGTGACGGTCAGCCTCAGCTCTCTTGGCTCCCTCGGTTCCAGCCAAACTCACACCCTCCTCCACAGGCCTCTGGAGACCCTAGCTCATTCTCCTGACTCTTCTCATGCTGGTGACACCCTCACATAGCCCTCCTGGCCTCCTCCCAGCCCCACGGTCCTTCCCATCTTTCACCGTAATCCCCAACTCTTGCCTCGAAAAACCAGTGCCAGTGGGCTGTGGCCCCCCCAAACAGGCTCGAGGGAAAGACGTGGGCCCCAGACTCTGTGCCTCCCCACCGGGCTTGGCACCGTGCTGAGCACACGGCAGGCGCTCGACAGATGCCCAGCCAACCCTATACCTGGCTTGGGTCTGAAGCTCCCGGGCTGGGGCCTGACGGTGCCCGGCTTTGGGGGCACAGGAGGCTGCCCCCTCGGGGGCCCCCGGCCACCTCTTCGCCCGCGAACCTCGGGAAGCTTGGTCAGGAACCTCTTCTCCACGTATTTGGCGTGAATCCAGGCCTCCTTCTCCTGCCTGGTGGGGGAGGCTCGTAGGAGAAGAAGGGGACAGTCTTCCCTCCTCCCACCCCAGGCCCTCCTCCCTCCCTGCCCATAAGGAGGGCAGCCCCAGCCCCTCCACCCCAGCCTCACCGGGAGCAGCTGGGCCCTGGCTTCTTCACGGCCATGGCCTCCACACGGGCCTCATAGATCTGGTTCATGACAACATTCCCCAGCTCACACATGAGCTTCAGGTGGCCCAGGCGGAGGCAGAGACAGACGGGTAGGGTGCAGGTGAGTGTCTGAGCCCTCAGTGCCCTCACCGCACCCCACACTCTCACAGCACCCAAGTCACCTTCACGAGTTCCGGCTCCCATGAGTCAAGGGTCAGGGACCGGACTTTGGAGAAATGAACTCCAAGGCTCCTGGAGGGCAGAGGGGAGGTCAGGCCCTCTGTGGGGGAAGCAGCCGGGGGAGGTGCTGCTGCTCCTGGAAAGACCTGGGGGCAAGGTCCGGCGTGGGGGTCCTGTGCAGAGGCGCTGGGCCAGGAGGCAGCAGGGCAGCCAGGGCCGTGCAGGCTTGACCTGCATCTGGCAGGATCCCGCCCGTTCACCATTCCCTCTTCTCTCTTCTTCTCATCCTCTCCAGCCACCTCCCCTCTCTCCACGCACTCTGGCCGGGACAACTCTTTCCACGCCATTCCCCCTCCCCATTTCCACCAGAATGATGGGGCGCATAGACTTGCTAAGGCCTCACAACATCTGACATCTCTCTCTGCTTTTCGTCAGCTCCCCCACCCTCAGCAGCCCTGACCCCGCACCTCCTCCAGTCAAGCCACTCAACTCCCCTGGGTGTCCCCCTACCCGGGCCAGACCAGGACACTGAGGGGCTGGGCCCACCTGGGTCCACCCCGTGCCCCACAGGATCGGCCCAGGCCTGTGCCCAGCAACAGACAGAATCTGAGAGGAAGCCCAGGCAGGGCGGGAAGGGAGGGAGGAGCCTCTGTGCTGGGCTCCAGCTTGCCTCCATCCCACTCCACTGCTGCCGGAAAGAGCAGGGGCCCGCGCTTGGGACCTTGGGGAGCGACCTGTGGATGCCGGAGCACTGAATGCAGAGGGTGACGCCCAGGTTGATGCTGGCCCACTCAGGGGCCGGCTCCCGGCAGTCACAGCACTGGGCGTTGCCGTCCACGCTCTGCACCTGGGCTGCCACGTGCCCGACTCCACCAGAATCCCTTCCCCTGCTCATCCCGCCAGAGCCCAGGGTGGCGGCGGAGCCCATGGCCAGGTGTCCTGAGCCCTGGGGGAGACAGGGGAAGAAAGAGTGGCTCTGAGGTCTAGGGGAAGCGATGTCCCATCTCCCTGGGCAGTCTGGCCCTGCACCCCCATGTTAAGGTACCTGGCCTGGACCCTGGGGGCTGTCATCAAGGCGAGCCTGGCTGAAGGCCGTAGCGATGCTGCTCTGCACAGCACTGACCCACAGCTGCAGGAGGCGCTCTGAGTCAGCCTGCAGGAGGCAGGACCTGGGCAGGGGGGCAGCCGGAGGGCAGGGAGGGGTCTGAGGCCTGGGGAGCCGAGTGGCAGGACAGGCAGGCTGACATTCAGCTAGTATTCAGCTGGCACCACTCATATTGAAATACCTCTGCACTAGTTGGTAATACCCTTCCAGATATCCCCCTTCACCCTAGACCCCCCCCTAGCCTGCCCCCGAATTGA